AGGTCCATCTACTGTATGATCCAGTGGCAGCTCCTCTATGGGTAGACAAGAGGACACAAAGGGAAGCCTTTGCTTTGCAGTGGCTTTGATGATTTACATTGACTTGGAAATGCAGCGGTTGTCATAAATGTGGACACTGCGGACATATTTATGTTATGTTCTACCATGGTCATGGTGTCTCTGATACTTCATCTTTTATTCCTTTTCTTTCTACTTGCTGTACTGCTTGCCAAAGTTTCTTTTTCCTTTATTGCTTCAGTTGTTACTTCTTGTTCTCTGCCTTTCTTGCAACTTTTTTCAGACTTTATTTCTAGACTTTCTGCTTGAATTGACGTTGCCCAGCCAGAAGTTCAACTAAAATTATAAATAACTTTACTTATTATATAACTAACAACTCCTAAGGACTGAAAGCAATGACCTTGCTCAAGAGATAAGATGTAGCTGGAGTTACAGTCGTCAGTTTCTTGTTATAGGAAAAAAAAACATGTTTTTGTACTTGTGTTCACGGGTATTTCCGGTACATGCTCTTACATGTGTATGTGCATGCATGCACACATGTACTCTGTTATTCACTTTTGGTTGTTGTTATCTGTGTTATCTTGTTGCTTTATTTTTCTATTGTCTCTCCTCTATCCACTCACCCCAACCGGTCGAGGCAGAAGGCCGCCCACCAAGAGCCGGGGTCTGTTGGAGGTTTCTTCCGTTAAAGGGAGTTTTTTCTCCCCACTGTCACCAAGTGCTTGCTCAAGGGGGATTTGTTGGGTTTTGCTCTATAATAATAATAATAGTAAGGCCTAGACCTTACTTTGTAAAGTGTCCTGAGATGACTTTTGTTGTGATTTGGTGCTATACAAATAAAACTGAATTGAATTGGCTCTTAAGAATAACTGGCCAGAGAAATTGCCTGCATAACAATTCTCCTTGCCACTGTAATTTCTGCCTTCTTTCTCCTTTCTCTCTGCTCATTTCCTTTCTTTTCTCCTCCCAATTTTTTCTTCAAAGTGTCTTGGGATAAACAGGGGAGAGTAAACCATTTGACTTTATTGTTGTTGATAATTGTATGGAGTCCTGGGTTTTGGACTAAAATAGGGGTGAAATATGGAGGGAGGGAGAAAGAAAGGAAGGAAGAGGGAGATAAAAGATGGGTGCAGATTTAGAAAAAGGAGATAATCAACCTCATTTGAAATTCCCATTTTACCAGTTGGTGTGGACCAGATGCACCGTTTAAATGTAAAACCAAACAAATACGGGTAGGTTATTTTTACAGCTGAATAAAATATCTTTATGGCAGCTCTTCTTATATGATTTTTGTTTTATATTCTTACTTTTGTAGTGTTTTCTGTAATGTTCAGTACAACAACTATTTCAATCTGGAGATGTTCAAGTTCAAATGCAGCACTTCAGAGTTGTGATGCACCTGCAGAAATGCCACTGATAGATGCAAAGTGAATGTTTGCAGCTTTGCTCTGTCAATAAGGACATCATTCTTGAAGTAGCTGCCTGATATTTAATTGTTTGTGAAACTGGGAATTACTCAGTCCCATAGCTGTGTGTGTTAGTAATAGATTTCCTAATGGATCATGATTAGAAAATGGCCTGTGCCGACATTTATAGTGTATCAAAACAGTATATACTTTTATTTATTGAAGCTTTAGCTGGTTGCTAAATGTTATAACAAGTTATGAAAATCTAAAGATCAGTCTGTTAGGCAGACAAAAAGAGAATTTTGTTATTCTAAACAAAAGTGGGAAAGCCATGATTTATTTTAAGCTACACAATTTAATTTTATGGTCAGTAAATAATTGAGTATTTAGCAATGGAATTATTAACAATTTAGATTGAGAACTCTGAGACATATAATGCAAAGTAATCAAGAGGTGAACCTGTGATACTAGCATATGTCATCAGTCTGGTGATTTACATATTATCAATGAATCTGTTTATATCTTTGGATAATATGTTACTTAATATGTTTGATGAGTCAGTGATTTTTCTCTTTCACTCCAGCTGAACATGAACAGCGCTCCAACCTTCATGCATTTTCCAGCTAAGGGAAAACCCAAGAGGGCTGATACATTTGACCTGCAAAGGATTGGCTTCGCTTCAGAGCAGCTGGCCAAGTGGATTGCAGACCGCACAGATGTTCAGGTACCACACAGTCAACACATTCATTTACACAGATACAGAGAGCTTATGTTAACTGAATATTTTCCACCATTGACGTAATTTTTAAAATGACAGGAAAATGTGAAGGCCGTCCCTCATTTTAACAGATAAGAAGACAAAAGGCAGTTTACCTTAACTGACATAAAAATCCCAATAATTGCCATATCATTGATAAATGGGGTGAAAAAAAGGAACTGATGCGGTGGATGGAGGACAAATGAGACTGTACTCAACATATCTCGTTATTTTGGAGCTGACAGTGCGTTGAAGAGCCATGGACTGGAGGCTATGGAGTGCGTCTGTGACAGGTCACAGACAGTTGCAGCTGCGCCTCTGGTGCAGAAGGAGCGCATGGTGTGGTGAAGGGACTGTTTATTGGGAAACCCCACATTCAGAGCAACTTCTAAACACTTCCTGAGAGAAATGTTCCCCAACTTCAAAACTTTGTCTGAAATGGAGCTGGCAAGTCCAGTCTGCAGTGTGGCAGCAGGGCACAGGCTCAGCTTTCAGATCTGAATTATAACAGGCGTGAGAAATCGTCTGTCCGAAGATGCAAAACAGTTGCCTTTGCAGCAGATTAGGTTACAGCAGGTCAGCTGAGTTCAATTCAGTGAGCTAAACTTCATGTAAATGGGTTCTTCATATTTTAATGGTACTTGTCTAATTTTGTAAAATTGCAGTGTTCATCTTTTCTAGGTTTATACACAAAGGCTGCAGTGTTTTTAGCGGCCTCCGCTGTTACTGGTGGGGGGGAAATCATGTGTTGACATAAAGGTAGCTGCACATGAGCTTGTTCACATTTTAATTATTAAAAAAACTAAATTAAAATTAATAAAAATGAAATGCTATTAAATAAGCTAATAAATAATGCTATTAAATAAACATTAAAAATGTTTTTTAATTGACTGGTAATAAATTATGCCAGAATTTTTATGACCCTAATGGACAACAAAAAAGTCTAGCATGACTTCAGCAGATGCACATATGCAAGAATTATTAAAAGTTGGTACACACAGTATAGTTCTTGTTCACATGGCATGTAAGCTGTTGATTCGCAGATTCCTGAAGTTCAGCAATTTTAGCAGTTTAACAACATCGTTGCCTTTTAGTTCTAGAAGTTGTATGAAGTTGTATGAAGTGGTGACTTGAAGAGTGACTCCTATCTCGCACCATCATCTCTGTGTGGACCCACATGGGGATACTGTATCAAATTTAGGTCAGTGACATCAAGTTACACGGCACATTGCATGTTTAATGTGTATATTTATGTTCTCTGTCACAAAGAGCTCACAAATAAATAAGAATTGAAATTAATGTTTATGAGAATTATTAGTCAAGACTAAAGCTCAGCCTCAAGTTTTGAATACTGATGAACAGGTACCGTAATAGTATGGAGGGGTTTCTTACTCTTTGATTGCTACACTTTGATAACTTAAGGTCACTTGCCAAAACACACAGAACAGGGCAAACGCACAAAGCATCTTTGTTTGGCCTTTTGTTCTTTTTCGACTTTCTGATTGTCCAGCGAAAATCCTTGCAGTCGAATGCTTAATCATGTTATATGTTACCATGGTTATGAAATGATCTTGCATAAATTCAAAACTTATACAGATGATTATAATATTGCTTCCATGACAGTCCCAGTGAGCAGCAGATTGTATTAATAGTTAAATGCTTGAATTAAAATTGTAATTAATGCAGAAATCAAATATCTCCTGTCACAAAATCCTGTTGTTCTTTTCCCTTGCTTTTACCAACCTTTACTGGCTGACTTGCTCCTGGGTAATCCATGCCAGTGTTTGATTGACAGCTTTCACCCCAGCTTTCAAACTCCACCAATTTATCAAAATCTGTTCTGCTGCATTAATACTGCATATGTGGAAAAAGTTGTGGAAAGCCTTTTGTGGCTCCAGAGAGAACACTGTGAAATCACCTCAAATCATATCACTTGTATCTTCATCAGTTGCAGTTGAAGACTGTTAGTTTAAAATAAAATAAAACAAATATCTGGGGTATGGGGTTAGGAAGAAGTGAGGCTATCAGGCCTCTGTAGCCTGCTCCTCATCTCTGCTTGAAGCCTGAGGCTTGAGGCTTAGTCATAGCTAACATCAAACACCTGAATCTCCAGCCGAACTTTTGGCATTTGAGAGCATTGTGGGTGGTGTAGATGGTTGCCAATGAAAGAAGAGTGTGAGGGATGCAAAAGACTTTATTTGCTGTTCTGCTGCATTGATTTTAATACACTTTCTTTTAAACTGTCAATTGTAAGTCTGACAGTGGTATAGGAAGTGCTACTCGGACCACAGTTTCTCTCAGCAACACCAAAAAGTCTAGGTGTGAAAGCACCCATCATCTTTGCAATGGCAGGTGCAGTGCCGACCATTTCCTAACCTAAGCTTCAAGGAACAGGGTGTTTCACACACATGACTGTTACATGTCTTTGCTTGGAGGCACTTAAGTTGTTGACACTTGAGAGATGAAACTTTCCACAGTGAAACTACAGTTTCTACAACCTGTCAGCCAGGTATTGGCAGACACAGTCCAAGCATCCTGCTGACATCCTGTTGAATGGATCTGGATTCAAAAGGCTGCCTTTCAGAGAAGGAGAGGGGAAGCACTTACTGTAAGTGCCAGCTTTCAGGCTCTTCAATGTGACTTTACTGCATGAATAAAGAACAAAACAGGAAAGAAAAAAGACAGCATATAGGTTATATGACAAAAACAGTGAGATGAATACATTTGTGTAATGGAGAAGCATGACTCAACGCCAGGAAGAGAACTCTGTGCTTTGATTTTGTGTTGCTATATATGCCGCACAGTGCCGACTGTGGAACACAGAGGTGGGGATGTGCTGGTACGAGGCCGCATGAGTGCAAAAGATATTGGGAGGGTGACTACACCCTAATACTGACCGAAAGTGACTCTGTCTCCAGAAGCTTGACAGCAGAGGAATTTTCCAAAATGACAGTGATTTCAGACATTTCTTAAAGACTATCACTTTCACTATCACTATCACTTGGCCAGTCACCTGACTGCAATTTAATAGAACATCCAGTAGTAAAGAACCGTATTTTGAAGCGAAAGATACTGTGGAACAACAAAACTCCAAAGAGCAGCTGAAAAGAATCATTGGTGAAGAATAGTTGAACATTTCTCCACAGATTTGTGTAAGACTAGGATCATCGTTGCCTAGGAGGATCAAAAATAAAGATGGAAATAAAAACTATATATATAAAAAAAAAAAAAAGAAATCTCACTAATGAAAAGTGTACTGACTTTTGTTAGAACAGGTTTTTAAGTATGGACCTTTCAGGATACTTTATTTAGTTGAACATTTTAGTTTTTCAAATTAATTGGCTTCACTCTCCCTGGACTTTGGCTAAAATCAGATACAGTTTTTATTAAATAGACAGTAAATAAACAGTTACTTAACATTTTAGTAATCCGGACTTGATTTTGTTGTATATGTTCTGTCTTTTGGAACTTTTTACCAGAAAACAAATATATGAAAGTAAAAATAGAAAGGTTTTCATATATTGATTATTTGATACCTTCCTAAAATATGGTTCCTGTTCATTTTTATTCAGTTTTGAAAGTCATCCCATTGTGCTGTGCCTTACCAAACACATTTCAGTGGGGGAACAGGGCTTGGAAATTTGCCCTGTTTAGACTTGGTATTAAAATGCATCTCAGTGATTTGAGCACAAGTAGACAGCTGAGACACATCACCATTCACACCTGTCTCCAAGGTGTCCAGCTGACCACTTTAGATTTTGCTTCTGCTGCGACACTTCCACTTAAATATCAAAATGCCAAAGGCACAATTATTACACCAGTCTGTTACCAGAAAAGGACCAGTAGTCTCCCTAACGGTGGGGCCTAACCGAAGAAGAAGAGGACGACAAGGCTTGTACATGAAAGCTTTCACAATATATTGATGGATTTGTGTCGGATATTTCTCTCTATCTTTTCTTTTCTTTTTTTTTTTTTTTTTTTTTGACATTGGCATGCTTTCACCAAAGCAACCACCACGTCTTGCATTGATGACTTATTTTACCTGAATGGCCTTGTCGGAGACGTATCAGAACACATTAGCTGTTACACCACAAAACATATGTTTAAATGCATCCCAAACCACCTTGGCATGCTTGTATTTGGTGCTATTTACTTGTGATCCATTCGCTCAGGATGCATTTTAAAACTAAGTCTAAACTGGGTCTAAATTTCTTTTTGAAAACAGCAAAAAATATTTGTATTTATACAGGTGACTTTTCAAAGGGCTGTATAATGTGCTTTTGGTCATATTAAAGGCTTTATTCTATTATAAAGCCTCGTTCGGTTCTTTCAAACCAGGAACTCAGTGAGACGAAGCAGACCACTTGAGTATATAAAAAATATAACCGTGCTGGTTTATTCAAAGAGTCACAGGCAAGAATTAACATTACACGTCCAGGCATCTTCCACCCCCAGAGCTGCTCGCAGGCAGCCCGGAAGAAGCAAGACCCCGAACCTAGAAACCTATACAATATTAATCCTTCTGGGCTAGCCCATGCTACGCAGGGCGTCAAACCGTGACGTCACCTGATATGCCAGCTTGCAGCTGACTATAACGTTAGCCAAAACATGAGGAAAAGTCAAGGTGTGTGGCTGTTGTTTTTGTGGTGTGTATCTAACAACTTGACATGACATTACACATTAAGATAAATATTAAGATTAGCATTACAGTTAATACTAACAGCTCTTTGCCTGCAACCTTGGCCTGCTTGCAGTCTGCACTGCAAGCACATTACTGAACAGTTAACAGCCTGAGCTAGTCAATCTGTCTCCACTAACATTTCTAGACAACAAATCTTTGAATATCTATCTAACTAGGAAATAACCTAACAATATTATATTGAAAAAAATCCATTATGCTTAAAGGATATAATGAAAACTCCAGGGATCAGTTTGAGAATAAGGACAAATTTGGAATTTTACATTTCTTTAAGCCATTTTCTTTTTTTTCCTGCTTCTTCTTTTTTTGAGGAATGTGGAAACAAATGAAGTATTTCCTTCAGTGGCACTTGCATTTAAGAATAAAATGGCACTGAACTTGCCATAGAAACATCTTCTCTTGGTTGAGTCTGGGAAATGGGAGAATGAAGGGGCTTTTGTTTACAACACACACCACAATAAAGACTGTGTATCTATACATTTATACAGTAGTGTAGTGCTGTATAGAGCAACTGCACAATGTGGATGTTATATGCTTTTCATCTCTCTCCCTCTCTTTGTCCCTGCAGATCCGTGTTTTCCGTCCTCCCAATTATTCAGGAACCATTGCTTTAGCTCTGTTAGTTTCTCTGGTTGGAGGGCTGCTTTATCTGAGGAGGAACAACTTGGAATTCATATATAACAAGACTGGATGGGCCATGGCTGCACTGGTATGATAACCACAGACATCTATGTTTTCATTCCTCACTGGGACTTAATACTGACTAATGATACATTCATATTACCTCCTGAAGTGACCCGACTCAGATCTGATCTTTTCACAAATGTTTCAACAAATTACACTGGATTCTTTCATTGTTTTTTGGTGCCTTCATATGTCGTGCTAGTCATATCCGATATTTGACCGTGCAAATCTGTCAGATCTGAATTCATGTGGGTTTTCTTTGAAGTCTCACTTACAGTGTGCGTGTGCACAGTGCCTGTCATCATCATTCAGTGTTGGCCCTTCACACACCGGTAAAAGTACACATAGAGAAGAGCATCAACAGTGATGGGGATCAGTGGAGAGGTGTTTCAGTTTTATTGGACATTTACTGTATGGAGAAGCTTCTGATCAAGCACGCACTGGGGTTTAGGTTCAAGCCTTTTAATCTACTGGAAGAAATTAAATATATGCTCTGCCAAAAATATACACATTTACATGCATGGAGCATACTGTATGTTAAGTGAAAGTGGACTGGAAACACATTGAGTGAGTAACCCTCTCTCTCTCTCGCTCTCTCTCTCTCTCTCTCTCTCTCTCTCTCTCTTTCTTGCTTTTCATGATAGTGTGTAGTTTTTGCAATGACATCTGGCCAGATGTGGAATCACATCCGAGGTCCTCCATACGCCCACAAAAACCCCCAGAATGGACAAGTGGTATGAAAAACATTGGGTTTTTCCCTTTCTATGTACCATATGTATACATCAGTGTTATTTATCAATGCTTCACCTTTTGTCTTTTCATCCAACCGTCCAATTTTTTATCTTCTTTTTTCTTTTGTTTACTGTTCCTCCCTTGCTGTCTTCCTCCCTTCGTTTCTTGTTCCTATCACTCTTTAGTTTTGTCAAAACGTATATATGGGTTTTCAAGGAAAAGTTATGTTTTAACGTTAAGCTTAACCTGTTTTACAGTGTAGTCATTGAGACCGTAGATCAGTGATAGGAACATTTGTGAGGTAGTTGGCCCCGAGTAAAATATACTCTGTGCCATTACCGCCTGCTAATGGGTCAGAGCTGGGACAAAGTGTGTGTATGTGTGTGTTACTAGACACCTGGGAGCAGTCACTGTGTGTTAATATCACCCTAGAGATGTGTCAGAGTCGTCTTGGACCAAGAAGAGAGTGAGAGGGGGAGGTAGAGACAGTTTCTTCCTTTCTTTCTCTTTTTACTTCTCTCTATTTGCTTTTATTTGTCTGCCTCTCCTCCACAGTTGCTTTGTTTTTTGCACAGTTACCACCTCCCACCAAACTGTGTGCAAACACTCATATGCACAGCATTTGCAGATAGAGTTTTGCTGGTCATCATTTAAGTTTGTTCACTCGAGTGTGAAATTAAAATGAAAAATATGAGAAAACCAGAGAAAATCAGGGAGGAAGCACCGAGGGGAGTTAGAAAGGTAAAGTCATAGAAGAGAGGGAGAGAAACTGAGCAAAGGAAAAAGATAATTTACCTTAAAACAAGTGATGTCTGTCAGTAATACTTTGATAAATGTCATGTGGATTTGCACACACACAAATTCTGCCACAGTGTGTGATGCATGAGTTCACAGACAAATCAGTGTGGTTGTTGCAAGAACAGTCAGTTTGGCTTATACAGAGGCTGAAAAGGATTAGTATTCGCTGTGACCATTACAGAATATGCGCACACAGCAGAGGGGAGAGCACATACACACACAAGAGAAAAGGAAAATAACTTTTAAAAAACAGCATCA